AAACAACACTATCTCTTCTAGTTGGTCCAGAGTCTTAATATCTTTTTGAAATTATTGGGGTTTCAAAAAGCGAAGTTGAACAATGGGTTTTCGGTGGAGTAAAATCTTTTGGAAGAATAACGAAAGTTTTTGTAAGTTCTGTTTATTTGTTAAATATCTCTCTACTACTAACGACTGTGCTGAAAGAAACATTAAGTTAATACAAGACTACGTGAAAGAAACAAAAAGTTAATACAAGACTACGTGAAAGAAACATCAAGTTAATACAAAACTACGTGAAAGAAACATCAAGTTAATACAAAACTACGTGAAAGAAACATCAAGTTAATACAAAACTACGTGAAAGAAACATCAAGTTAATACAAAACTACGTGAAAAGAAACATCAAGTTTCAAGAAAGAAACATAACTACGTAAAGGCATCTACAAATGAAGATTAGAGGCAAAATATAATGCTTGTTACAAAAGATCACATAAAAAAATTACAACCAAAAATGCCAAAAGATCAACTCACAAAAGTTTATATTTTACAACTATTATATTATACAACTGCTTTCTTATGCGTTTAATAAAAAGAGGTTTTTTAACATTTGTTTTCCTGTAAGGTGTGTTTTTATTTAATTGTGCAAAATAAATTTGTAAATAAGGATTTTGAAAGAAAATTGTCTTAGTAATATGAGCGTAAAAATGTAAAAAAAAAAAAAAAAAATTGTTTGAATTTCTAATTACATATCTAGCAAAGTTACTAACTGTAGATTAAATTTTTTTATATATTTTATCTTTATAGATCAAATCACATAGTTTGGAGGGTACACATAGTTTGGAGGGTACACATAGTTTTGAGGGTATAGTATATAAATATTTTTAAATTTGCATCATTTTTGGGACACCCTACTAGTTAAGGATTTATAAATATTTTAGTTTTAAATTTTGTTTGTTTTTTGTTACTTTAAACGTTACCAATTTACTTTAAAACATTACCTATTACTGTGATATTCGGTCACGAATATTTGAACTAAGATAATTGATAAGATAATAATTCGGACTAATTGAATATAGATATCTAAGATAACTGACAAACAAAATATTTTGAGGGTCATTCCTAGTCAGTCCGAGGGAAATTAACCTTTACAGATTAGGATTGTTTGAAACAAATTTTGTACAAATTTGAGAAAATAAAAAGAAAAAAAAATCACCATCAAAAGATTAAGATAAATTGGAAAAAAAAAGGTTTCCATGGCCCCACCCATGTTTTCAAATAAAGTTCAAGCCAAACCTTCAATTTTTAGCAGGAAAAGATGCCAAAGCAACTGAACAAATCACATCTCGAGTTATTTCAAATAAAGAATTATCTCCGGAAAAGAACTATTCTACTTGCTATAGCATTTATCAAGTTTTATAAAGATGTTATAAAACTTGCCCATTTTTTATATAAAAATGTTATAAAACTTGCCCAGTGGACCACGAATCTCTAGCTTTTGAGGCAAGCGCGCTACGGCTACTTATTTCTTCATCTTCAGTAACATAAAACCAACATTAAGGAAGGTTTTGATACAATTCAGGTTGTTGCAATGATTTATCAAGTCTTGTGAATCATGTTGTTCAATCTCGCAATATTTCTGCTTGCTAATTTGTTTAGCTAATTTTTGTCTAAGTATTGTCAATACTGTGTTAAGAGATGAAACAAGCTCAAATGAAATCTCGCCGATTTCATTTAAAAGGGGATTATCAACGATTGACAATGACAATGATGGAATTGCATCTCCTCTTAGAATTTGTCAATCATTTTTTTAAGATCTTTTAAACTGCTTAAATAGAAGTGGTTAAGTGGCTGCATTAAACTGAGTATTATTTTACAGTTCAAAAAAAGTAAAAATTTTTAAAAACTGTGGATACGCTGCAACAAATTACTGTTACAAACATGGTTTCCAACATTTATCACATAGCTAAAACATTCAAAAGTTTCAACTTAGTTGTAAAAAATTGCTTCGCATTCAACCTTCAGCCGGATTTCGCTGAAAAAAAATTTCAAAAGCTGTTAATGCAACTTAATGCAAAAAAACACATTAAAAAAAAACATATTTTAAACACACATAAAAAAAACACATTTTAAACACACATAAAAAAAAAATTAAACACACAAAAAACCATCTAGCACACCAAGAATTTTATCATTTACAAAGGACTCTTTTTTTTTGGGCACTTTTTTTGAACAAACTGTCAAAACTACTGATTAAGATTTTTATCAACATTTTGGTATGAGCGATAATCAAGGTATGAGCAATAATCAAGGTATGAGCGAAACAATAATCATACAGAAAAAAAATTGTTGCGCTGCATAAATAATATGAACTGTAAGCATCTTTAAAAAATTGTTAAACTGTAACTGTAAACTGTACAGTTTGAATTATCAGAGATTTGAGTTATCAGAGATTTGAGTTATCAGAGATTTGGCAGCAGAAATTTGAGTTATTAGAGAGCATTCAAAACAGTTTGTAATGAAAAATTTTCTTAAAAATTTTTTAAATGCTATTTAAAAGCTTTAAAAGCTATCAATTATTAAATTTAAAAAACTATAAATTTTGATATTTAAAAATAGTCTTAAAGAGTATTTGTACTAAAAGAGTGGAGATAAGAAAGAGTGGAGATAAGAAAGTACTAAAGAGATAAGAAAGTTACTGAGCTATTTAATAATTTTTTTGTGGAGAAAATCAAACAACATGTCTTAAAATGTAATTAGATACCATTTGATGGTAATTTAAAAAGTTTACAATTTAAAAAATAAGGTTTAAATAGTTATTTTTTCACTTAATTATGAAAGAAAATTTTTTTAGAAGTGTTTTTTTTTTAGAAAAAGAGGTGCCGGAACTCACCTGTATTTTTCTTAAATCTCAAAAAAAGCAGATAATAGCAATTATTTATAAATAAAGTTTATGCATATGTATAGCCGTTGGTGGGTTCCCCCACCCATTATAACCAATAGAGCGGAAGCAAACAAAAGAAGCTGTTTTCCAATGTAAGAAGCTTTTTTTTAATTTTGACATGTTTTTTATATGGGTGCGTGGGAGGAAAGGTTACAGGGGTGATGGATCACGGCTCTGTATTTAAGATACAAACTGTACAAAACTTTAAACTTCAATAAAAAAAAATTAACAAGTTTTTTGCAATTTTTGTTAGAGTAATTATCATAGCTCTTAATATAGTTGAATGGATTCCACTAAATAACCATGAATTAACGTACTTTGAAAGATCGTAGCTTGTTAGTTGTGGTCCCACTAGTTTGATGAATAATTTGTTGAAATTTTTCTGGTAATTAATGAAGGCCTTGTTTGTTACCTATATGCTTGGCAATTTTAATGCATACCTCTCTAGAATGAAGATTACAACCTATTTTAACTCAGTTAGTTTCTTGAAGATCAATTTTCCCATTTCATAGTTATTAAAGGGCTGATATCTTTTTCCAACTTTATATGTAGTTCGAAAAATGTTTGCTGTGAAAATTTTCTCTCACGTTAAAAACTTTAAAATATTGTTTGGAAGAGTCTTTTTTAGTTTTTTTTTACCATCTTTACGACATTTGTACTTTCAATTTAAAGAATTTTGAATAGAAGTTTTTATGGAATTAAAAATGTTAAGTATTTAAAAACTAAGTTTATTAATAATACGCGAAAAAGAAAAGTTTATATAAAAAAAAAGGTGCCGGAACGCTGTTCCGGTGCGTTCTAGGAGAAAAAATATATATATATATATATATATATATATATATATATATATATATATATATATATATATATATATATATATATATATATATATATATATATATATATATATATTTTAATTTTAGCAATTGAATTTTTTTTGGCTGACAAAATGAAAAGATTTCAAAATCTGCATCATACGGTACTTTGAGGTGTACGCTATTTTTTCACATAAGTGGTATTCTTGAGTCAACTAAGTTGGCTCAGGATCCATGTTTTTAAAATTAAATCTCAAGCATCTAAATACTCAATTTTAAATTACATTGTTAAATATCATTAAAAGTTAGATGGTTACAATTTTTATAAAATATAAAGTTTTATTGTGGTTAATACCTTAGCGATGACGTATGTCAAATAAAAATTGGCAAAAATATAAAGCCTAGTCACCACCCACTCAAAAGCCTGGTCACAACCCACTCAAAAGTTCTTTTTCTTTTTATTAATAACTAGCACCTCATTGAAATTAATTTTATCTATTAGAACTTAAAATTTTTTTTTTTTTAAAAGTTCAAACTCAAGTTAAGAAAAGCCGCAAAAAAAGTTCCAAAATCATTTAAGATGTATTTAAGTATATAAAAAAAGCCAATTTTATGCTATAAACAAACAAACAAACAAACAAAAAATACAGAAAACGTCTTTAATTTGTCCAAAACGTAGATAGTAATCACAAAATTATAAAGGTTCTAACTTTATCTTTAATGGCAAGAGCTGTTTCACCCTAAGGACTGCGTTTTTAACTGATAATGATTTGTATTATTTATATAAATGTTCTGATTCCAGGCATTACAAAATGCTAAATAATTTATTTTGCCTCTCTATTTTACCAAAAGAATCAAACCTAAGCCAGACCAAGTAGAATGGTTATCAACAAGAAGTATACCTAAATAAGTGAATAATTAAACAGTTTGTTCCTATTTATTCAGGAGCATCACAAAAATTATAAATATTTATTCAGGAGCATCACAGCAATCATAAATTCATCTCATAAAAATTATGAGATTAGAAATTATGAAATTAGTCACAGACTACAAGCTAATAAGTATTAAAAGAGAAGAATTCAGAAAATGTTACAGAAGCTCGTCCAATTTTTGAGTTATATGCAGTTACCTGTAGTTTTAATAGAACTTTTTTGTTTAATTAATATTTTACGATTGTGCCACGTTTTCTTTGACATATGTTCATTATAAATTTTATAAGATAAAATTGTAAATGAATTTAAAACGTTATAAAATAATATAACCTTAGTCAATAATCGACAATACTTTTGAAACCTCTTTTTATATATTTCATCAAAATTTTCATCTGAAGAAATAGCCATAGCTGCTCGACTAACTGAATTTAATGCCATGTTTAATATTAAAAAAAAAAAAAAAATCGAATAAAAACAAGTTGTTAAATTCCCGAAATAATTTTATTAAAAATTTCACAAATGACAAAACCCTATGTCAATATTGGCTTCTACTGTCAAACATAAACATTTAAGTATTTTAAAAGATATAGTATGAATTAAAATCTTTTTTTTTTTAGGGACAAAAACAATAGTTTGTAAAAAGATTTTTTTTACAATGCAACCATGATTATATTACCATGATTAGTTCACTCGAATTTACGATTAACTAAGCTTAACTTGGTTCTACTATGTTTAGAATAGAACATAATACTGATGTGCATTATTCTTTTTTATAATGTGAATATTGTTCAGACTTGAGCATAGCAGTTGTGTGATTTATAATACTTTAGGATTTTTGTATATCTTTTCCAACTATTCAATATCAACAGATATACACATCAGTATACTTCTTGTATAATGTTTAGAACACAGCTGGCTAATAAAAGCAGCATGTACGTGTTCCTGATGTTTAAAAAATAAACAAAAAATGCATAAAAAACATTTTTTAATTTATTTAAAATCATTTTAAAATAAAAACAGCATTTTGCAAATTGTAATTTTTTAAAATTATTTCTGTATAAAACATCACTTTACGAATTTGTAATTAAAATAAAATTATTCAATGTTTTATTTTGCTGTCAAATGGAAAACACTTTATTCATCTAGACAAGAAATGACGGGGTTGATTTCTCCTCAATTAGGAGATATAGCACACTTTTGAGCTCCTTTTTAAAAGAACTTGCTAACTAGTGCAAAATTTTTAGTTTGTTTCGGAACCACAAGTATTTTTTATCGCTGGACAATAGATTCTGAATGAACAAAACAGGTTCCAAATTGAGTTAAAGCTTTGATTAGTAGTTTGATGTTCTATGACTTTTAAAAGATTTACTGAGACAAAGTGTGAAATTTTATTATTCCATATAAAAGCCTAGCCGACAAAGTTTATCATGAAACTTGTTGGTGGTTGAGAGTTATTGAGGGGTTTTTAATTTGATTTTTACTGGGGAGCAAAAACTCGGACTTTTCAGCATTCAATTTTATGCACTTCCTATTGGACTAGATTTTCATCTTAAATAAAAGACAAAAATTTTTATTGCATAATAACGAGTCATTACACCATAATATTAAAAAATTAAAGCAGTCTTTGTTTCCCAAACAGAGTTGTCAGTTAAAGCAGTAATTTTCTTTGTTTCCCAAACAGAGTTGTCAGTTAAAGCAGTAATTTTCTTTGTTTCCCAAACAGAGTATGTCAGTTAAAGCAGTAATTTTCTTTGTTTCCCAAACAGAGTATGTCAGTTAAAGCAGTAATTTTCTTTGTTTCCCAAACAGAGTTGTCAAACGCTAATCCGACATCCAAGAAACAGAGATAGACAGGCGAGTTGTTGTTGTTGAAGTGTTTAATTGTTTCTCTTATAACAAGTTCCGCATGTAGAGTTTAGCTATTTCGAACTAAAAAGAATGAAGAGAATGATTTTCTTTTATCTCTGGTCAGATTATCAAATAAGATTTCTATTAGTTTCATAAATATCGGTATGATGATAACGCGGTAGTTTTATGGATCAATTAATTTTATAGTTTTAATTAATTTTAAGCCGTTTTTATATTTTTATCGGATATCATTACCTCATCATCACCTCATCATCATCTCATCATCACCTCATCATTATCTCATCATTATCTCATCATTACCTCATCATTATCTCATCATTACCTCATCATTATCTCATTATTACCTCATCATTAACTCATCATTACCTCATCAAATACTTAAGATACTTATTTTGTATGGTATAAAATAGTATAAATTTCGATAAGTTCTTCATCATAATTGCTATTACTTTCTGTTAAGTTCTTCATTATATTTGTTCATCATAGTTTGGAATGCTGTTACCGTCTGTTATTTTGTAAATATTTTTTAAAGAGATGGTCTGATGAGTCCAAATTCAATTGATAAAATTCAATTGGTAAATGATCAATAATATTTTAAAATGAAAAAGAACAATACAATTGAAATACAAAAGAGGCAAAAAAAACAATTTGATCAATACGTTTGGTATGATGTTGATTAGTTTTCTTAGGACCAGATGCGATTTTAAGGGAATGAGTGAGGTCCACCCCTCCCCCCGCACCCCCAAAGAAGGTGATTTTCAAGTTATAGTCGGTTTTATTACGAATTTAATTGGTTAGTCGGGTATACAACACAGTTTAGTCGGGTAAATTTTAAGGGAAAAATTTTTTTCTTTTTTTCTTTTTAAAAGCCAGTAGTTACTTTTTTTAGGATTTACCCCCTCCCTTCCCTTTCGTTTTATTTTTAGAATTGCCTATTTGTAGGACCAGAGACTTTTTTTACGTCAATAATTCAAGTTCATTCGATTATATATATATATATATATATATATATATATATATATATATATATATATATATATATATATATATATATATATATATATATATATATATATATATATATATATATATATATATATATATATATATATTAGTAGAAAATCACTTAAAAGTTTTTTTCATTTTTTTTCATTTTTCATTTTTTTTTATCAAAAATAAAAGAAATTTTTGTTAAGTGATTTTCTACTAATTTATAATTGCTCTGTTCTTTTAAGAACATCGAGTATATTTTGTAGAATACATTTTTTTAAAAATTGTTTAAATATATATTAGGCTCCTTATTAATATTTGTTGACCACTCTTAATTGTATTTTTACATTCCGTGTAAATATGGAAACTAAAAAAAAAAAAAAAAAAAAAAAATGAAAAAAATTTTTGTTAAGTGATTTTCTACTAATTTATAATTGCTCTGTTCTTTTAAGAACATTGAGCACTCTATTTTGTAGAATAAATTTTTTTAAAAATTGTTTATATATATATATATATATATATATATATATATATATATATATATATATATATATATATATATATATATATATATATATATATATATATATATATATATATATATATATATATATATATATATATATATATATATATATATATGACTGTTATTAAATAATAAAAGAACGCGGGGACTCGTAGAAGACCATACTGTCTTGTCGTCGAGTACTGCCTAATTTATAAGATATTTACAAGATAAAAAATAAGTAACAAAGTAAGAAACTTAAAATATTCCCTTACAAATACAAGATACAATATTACATATATAATTTTTATAAATTCATGTTTAAATAGAGGGTAAAAAGAAAGATCACTAAAAAAAATATCAAAAGTATATTGTTAAATCTTCGATTCTAAAAATGAGTTCTTTAAGCTTTCGTTTAAAAGAAAAATAGTTACTTTGATGAATAAAATCCTCAGTAAAATTTTTTAAAACTATTGTATTCTATAAGAATGGTCCTCGATAATCAATACAAAATTTAAAAAGATTTGTTTGAAAAATGGACTGCTTAATAAAATTATCATTGCGTAAAATGTATTTATTTTTATTTTTTGATGAATACAAGTTATGGAAAGAGATCAGGGATGAATTGGTTTTACATTTAAACATAAAACAAAGAATATTAAAAATATTAATCTCATATATATTAAAAACTTTTATTTCAAATAATAAAGACTTGGCATGAATATAACGGTCTTTAAAATATATAAGACGTGCTACATGCTTCTGCTGACAATAAAGAGGTTTAAGTTTATTTTTATTTGTACTACTCCAAGCAATGTTTGCATAGTTTATGTGACAATGAATAAATAAGTGATATAATTGTACTAAAGTATGTTTATTTAAAACATTTCTTGCTTTGTACAATATTCCTATACTTTTTGAAATTTTACTTGGTAAGTTTTTAATGTGATTTTTCCATGTAAGAATTTCAACTATACAAACACCTAGAAAGTTGGTTACTGTTACTTGTTTAATTTGTATATTGTCAATAACAAGATGAGGCATGTTAATTGGCAGTTTATGCTTTTTGATGAGAGGATGGAAAAGAATCCATTTAGTTTTATCAATGTCAAGAGATAATTTGTTGGTCTTAAACCAGTCAGATATTTTGATAATACTTTTGTGTGACATAAATAAATTAGTTTCGTCAGCAAACATAATTGTTATTAAATCCGAGGCTTTTTATAAACCATTTATATAAATAAGGAAAAGAAGAGGTCCTAATATGGATCCTTAAGGAGCTCCACATGTAATATTTAACAAATTTGATGAAATGTTTCATTCGCGTTTACAAGTTGTTTACGATTAGTTAAATAACTTTTCAATCATTCTAAAATTTTTTTTTTGTTTTTTTTTAATGTTGATTTAGGTGCCCCAAGAAGTGCTTACGGTCTTATCACAGAGCACCGCGGAAGAGCATTTAATAGGAAGTTCATGCCTTCTTCCCAACCGATGTCACAACTTGCCCAGAGGTGGGGATTGAACCACAGATCTTACGTTTCTGAGGCAAGTGTGCTACCACTGCGCCACGGCTGCCTGTTATACCATAATACTCTAATTTTTTAGCAAGAATTTTATGATAAATGGTATCAAACAAAAAATGGTATATATATTATGATAAATGAAGCTATTTTACGCAAATAAAAAGTTAATTAAATTTTTGAAGGTTTATTGCAAGGTTTATTGACCAGGTTTATTGACCATATTTAAAGAATTACGAAATTTTGAAGTAAATATTTCAGAATAAGAAGCACGGGTCCACCGAATGCTCGTGTTTTATTGCTGGAATTATAAAAAGTGGGTATTTTTATAAACATTTTTTATTACAGAATATTCAAGTTTTAATAACTAACGTTTCTATATAAAGTGGCAAAAGTAAAAAATAAATATTTTGGTATATTTTTTCATTAACTTTATAATTAAACTTATGGAATTTCTTAAATATCGCATTCTGTTACACAATGTATATAATCTGTACATAATTCTAGTACTTGGTTGGAAAAGCTTTTGCTGTATTGCATCTACGTGGCATTGAATCAAACAAATTAATTTAAAATTTACTTAACTTACGCGGTACTTCCTCTCAAGTACGTTTATTCAACAAACACTGTTGATTAGTTGGCTTGTTATCACTAGTTTTTCTCTCAATATGCTCCCAAAGATATTCAATTGGGTTCAGGTCCTCAAATTGTGATTCCTATTCCATGGTTCGAACTTTCTTTTAAACAAAAAATTTCGTAACTAACGTGGACGGCTTTGAAGTTAAATCTTGTTGTTTTAAATTTGCTTCATCAAAATTATATTTTGATGAATCAAATTGATTTATGGAACTTTACATGCTATTGAAATTATTGAATATACAGGGGTGCGCAGGTTATCGCAGAAAAAAATGAAAACAAAAATTTCGCGGCAAAAAATATGATATACAGTGAAAAACATTTTTGACGGGAAAATGTAACACAGTTCAACAAGTTAATCCTTAAAAAATGCCGTTTTTCACTAATTTAGTTGTAAAAGATTTGACAGCACGCAAAATGAAAATGCAAGAAAACTTGTTTTTGATCTATGGAAACGTGGTGTGAAAAAAGTTGAAATTTGCAAAGCCGTGAAGAGACAGCTTCATAATTCCAACGTCTACAGACTCTTAAAAGACTTAGAAACTGGAAAAAATTATAAAAGAAAAAAAACAGGCCCAAATCGTTATGTGAGAACTAAAGAACTTTGAAATTCGATCGACTGCAAAGTACGACGAAACCCAAACAGGTCAATTTCATCCTTAGCTAGAGAAGCAGGTGTGTCTCGAAGGACTATGCAAAGTGTTGTCCACAATGATCTAGGTATGAAAAGCCTTGTCAAGTCAAAAAGACAACTTCTGAGTGAGGCAACTAGAGCCAAAAGACGCAAAAGATCAAAAGAGTTACTAAATTGGTTCAAAGACCTATCGTTTACAGTGATGAAAAGATTTTCACAGTTGAACCAGAACCCAACAGATACAATGACAGAGTTCTTGGTAAGTCCAGAAGAACAGTTTCTTTGGAACTGAGGACTATTCCAAAGAGACAGCACCCTGTGGGCGTCATGGTTTGGGCAGGTGTGTACTCTGATGGGTCAAAAACTCCCCTTGTTTTTGTTCCTGAAGGTGTAAAAGTCAACCAGGTGACCTATGTCGACTTCATCAAAGCTAACCTCATTCCTTGGGCCAAAAAGAAGTTTGGGGACGATCCATGGGCCTTTATGCAGGATAGTGCACCAGCACACAGTGCAAAGAAAACTGTCAGCTTCTTGAAAGAAAATGTTCCGCACCTTTGGACCCCAGATATGTGGCCCCCTTCAAGCCCAGACATTTTTTTTTTTTTTTTAATTTTTTTTTAATTTTTAATTTTCGTCATTTGACACATTTTACAATGTTAACCTTACATTCAAATAAATTTATACAAATGCAAGCTGACTGGGGCAAGTAGAAGACAAAATGTCTTATCATCAAGCCCCTTCGTGAAAACAAAAAAAAAATAAAAAAAATTTTACAATTTCCAATAATATATAAAAGAGTTAAATTAAAAAAAGTTAAAAAAAAAAACAAATTAAAAAGTTTGAAAAAATCAAAAAGTTGAAAAAATAATTTTTAAGTTTGACAAAACTAAAAAGTTTGAAAATAATAAAAAAGAAAAAATTTTGAAAAAATTTTTTACAAATCCGTACATATGCGTATACATATCCAATAAACTTCATAATATATATTTAAATATACAAAAGATATTTTGAATTAAAAAAGATTCTGAACATTTTATAGATTTAAGTTCATCTACTCATTTTTTTTTAAACAAAATTAAAACAGACAAACAATAAGAAACAAGAAGAATATATATAAGAAGGATATATGTATATATATACACATACACACATACATATACACATACACACATACACACATATACATACACATACACACATATACATATACATACATACATATACACACATATACATACATACATACACACACACATACATACATGTATATATATACATATACATATACATACACACATATACATATATACATATACATTAATTATTTATTGAGTGTCTTGTTTTATATTTATGATTAATAAGAGAGAAGTTTTTATAAAAATATTTTGGAATTAATTAGTTTTGAAGTTTAAACATAAATAACAAGTTATGGTAGATGTTTAATTTGTATACATTTAGGGCATTTATTTCCTTGAGTAACGGCTCGGCACTTTCGTATTTATCCTATGGATATACATTAATCCTATGGATTTTGCTATATGGAGTGTTATGGAGACCAAGAAGGCAGCCAAAACATATCCAAATTTGGCAGCCCTCCGAAACGAATTGAAGAAGATCTGGAAGAATCTTAGTCTGACATGGTGCGACGATGCTGTGAGTCAGTTCCAGAGCGTTTGAAGAGTGTCATTGATGCCAAAGGAGGCTACTTTGAAATTCATCAGTGTTTTTGAGTAAAAATATATGTGATTTGGTATTGTGAAAAGTTTTACTTTGAAAATAAAAGCCATTTTTGAGATTTTTATTTTTCTGCGATAACCTGCGCACCCCTGTAAGCAAATTGGATTTTCTATATAAAATTTACAATAAATCCAACATAAATTATTATGTATGTGTAACTAATAAGATTTACAACTCATGATGAATTGCACAGGTCTACAAAAAATATGCTGGATTAAATTTGGCACTTTCTCTTACATAATTATGGTACGCTGGATTCATATCTAGCATCAGATTTTTATGGCAAGTTACAGATTTTTTGCAATATTTTTTTATTTTGCAAATTATAAGAAATAATTCTAAAAAAAAATATTTAAAACTCATTTTGAAATGCTGTTTTTAAAAATTTAATTTGTTTACAAAATTTAAACAAAAATAGAAAGCAGATTAAAATAAATGTGAACTGCCTAAAATTAATAAAAATATCAGCCTTATTGATTGATAACAAAATAATCTTTTAATTAAGTTTTTAAAAAGATTGCTTTAAATAATTTATTAAAACTACTCAATCAGGAAGAACTTTTTGCTTTTTGTTCTTTCGTTTATAAACTTCTCGCTTAACACCCCAAAAGTGGTGTGCCATTACGATCTTCGATCTTGGTGAAATCACTCTGATGACAATTTATGAAATAAAGTCTTATACTCATTTTATACTAAAGATCACAAAATTTAACATTCCATTAATTAAAACTGCATAGTTTTCTGCTTTTTTATTACCAAGAAAGTTTTTTACAACAACAACAAACGACAACGAAGCGTTTGCTCTTTGCTATTCATTGTTTAATTAACTGTTTATTATTTATAAAATAGCGAATTTGTGGTCCATTAAAAACGCCTTTTTTTCTCTATTGACAAACCTAGTAATGTTATAACTATGTACTAAAAGTAATTACAACAGTTTTATTATTATAACAAATATTTCACAAATCCAAGTTTAAGATGGAGTGACGAAAAACTATTTTTTTCGACTAAGGAGAAAATCAACCATTTTTAGATTTACACAAATAATCAAGTTGTGATTGTGATATTTAATTTAGCACCATTTTGATGTCATTGAAAATCTCATGCAAATAAACATTCATCAATTAGCACAGAACCAAAAAATATTGGCGTTGTGTAAAATAACGCATTTGAGGCTTCGCACAGAATGGAGATTTTTATTGATAGCATGACTATCGATAAAGTCTCCATTCTGTTGGATTGTATACAGAAATACCCAACTGTAATAGGAAACCTCAAACATCATGACAGTAAACAAATAAATTGACTTATGAAAAAAATTTAACAAAGGTTTCATCTCTTGTTCTAAAGTAAGAAACCTTTGCAAAGCTATCAAGGTTCTTTTCCTTTAATTGAGACGCTAATATTTCTGCTGCATGCTTAGAAAATCCTAAATCACGAACTGACTAAAAAACTGAGGCAAATTGAATTGTTTAGCATTAGATAAGAAGTCTTCAAAATCTGATAAAAATTCTTCTGTTTATTTAGCTAACATGCTTTGCTCATTGTCTAACAAAAATAAACCTTTAAAAAATGTAGCAGGAATTTTGTCAGAATATTGAATTGCTCTAATAGCAGAAGAAATATTGGGATAAGCCTCTATATTCTGTCAATACCAGATATCAACAAGACAAAAATAGCAGTCATTAATGTGGTTTAGGGGTTCTCACCAAACCATGGGGATTTCAAATTCTCGAAGACTTTCTTGACAATTATGGCACACAGTTTAATAGTCTAACAGGTTTTTATTAAAAAACAAATTATTAGTAATTATTAAAAAGTAAACGCAAATAAATAAAAAAATATATATACAAAATTTGTAAATATTTATTTTCTCATTTTTTTAGCACTTTTCTGCATTTCTCGAATTTCTTTTCGTTCATTGGATAATGCATTTTCTAAAGCGCGTACTTTTTTACGTCTATCAGCATCCCTGTAAAAAAAAATCCATTGTTTTAAAAAACTCATTTGACAATAAATTTAAGCTGATATAAAATTCAATACTTACCTATCAAGCGTTTCTTTTAATTGTTCTTTTGCTAAGAAGTGAGCATCCTTACGAATTTCACGCATTGCACTCTGGAAAAAAAATATAAAAGACATTAAGTACAACTTTATTTAATTAATTTTTGTTTTAGATGCCCCAAAAAGATCTAACGTTCGAGTCACAGACAGTAACGTTCGAGTCACAGACAGTAACGTTCGAGCCACTGCGGAAGAGTATTTGACTAGGAAGCGCAATTTTTGTCCAAAAAAATTATGAATATAATAAAAGATCTACAATATATGACAAAACAAGTGCAACCAAATAAGGCTAATTTAGTTTCTTTATATAAAAGTGCTGCATTTTTTCAATTAAGAGAAATAATTGTAACTTCGTTGTCTTGCTGAAAAACCCATTTGATTGGCATATTCCATTCAGCATGAGGTAAAATAACATCTTTCAGGATATTTTGATACATGAAACGGTCCATTATTCCATCGATTCGATGTATTGGACCTAGACCGTTAGCAGAAAAACACACCCCCAGACCATTACATTGCCTCCACCATGCTTCATTCGGCCGGTCGACGTACACGGCAAATGCCATCGCTCCCAATGATGTTGAACTTCGATTCATCGCTGAACAGGACAGTTCGCCATTTCTGCACATTCCAGTCAATATGAGATGTAGTAAACAGGAGTCTTTTCTTCTGGTTCTTTAGTGAAATCAGCGGTTTCTTTGCAGGGCGTCGAGAAAACAATCCGGCTTCAACAGCACGTCGCACAGTGACTCAGGACAATCAAAAAAAACGGTAAAAATTAATTAAAAATTGACATAAATCCTAAATAAATAATGTTATATATTAAAATAATAATTTTTAAGTCAAAGATTTCAAATTTGTTAACTTTTTTTTAACGCGCAGCTTCGACGCGTGAAATGCGCGCTTACGCGTGTTTAAGGTGACTATACGCGTACAAAAATTTTTTTTTTAAGTTTTTAGAATCTTCAAGACAAACACATAATTTTGACATATTACTCTACTTGATATTTTTATAAAAATGGTTTTTATGTTGATACATAGAGAAAAAATACTGCATTTTTTTACATTAAGTTCATTATTTACATTACAATTAATTTAAAAACTTCATCTGGTAACGGTTTTCCTCGATAGCTCTTATGTTTTCTAAAAGATATGCTTGATATTTTTGGATCTGATCTTACTAGAAGGTAGTGCATCTGATTCATCATTGTTTAACCTTGATAATTTTGCAGTGTGCTTAAGTCTAGAATTTCTTATCTATTTAAATCTCAAGTGCATCTTCCGAATATACCCCAATTGGCAAAGGTAATTTATTTGATATAGAAGAACTATGCAGTAGCAGTTTATGTACAGTAGGAGGCATAACATACCATTGTATAAACTCACTATACGTTTAGCTGTTTCAGTGCAGTATAAATCTAATTTATTGATATTAATAGGTTATCCACAAGATATGGTTATGAGAATATTATGCAATCTTTTAATTAACTTTAGTAATTTCAGAAAAAACTTCACTATTTTTAAATGCTCTTCTGGCAGTGTTGCCGTCATTCGTGTTTCCAGACCCAGTTTTAGGCATACCAACGTATAGGCTTAACCGTTCTCTGAAGAGTACCTGAATCTCTTTTTTTACAGATAGTTTTTCCTCAATTCTACAAATTTTTTACAGATAGTTTTTCCTCAATTCTCAAAAGTCTACAGATAGTTTTTCCTCAATTGTTTTTGGCTTATACTAATTTCAATTTTATAACTCAAATGAAGAATGGATAAACATTTTATCCAGCAATGCAAAGCCGAAATTCCGAGCCCCAAGGCCGAGTCATTCTCAGTTTTTGCTTTTAATAAATCAATATTATCAATTTCCTTGGGTTTAGCATTGCACACATTGCAGAATTGAGTGGATTTTGTCTCTGTAAGTGCGCTAACTACTTTATTATCAAACATTGTAAGATCAATCCTATAGCTGATATTAAATGTCAAAATTCTTCCTGCAATATTAAAAACTTTACAAAACGTCTTTAAGGTATTTATTTGATTTTTTAGATCTGATTCTTCTTCTCTGGATAAAATTGGACTCTCTTTTGTATATTGTAAATGAAGAGGTCTACAAAAGTGACAGCTTGTAGGATTTTCATTTTTCCAAATTTCGCCATCTTCTACTTCGAGCAATAAAGGCACAAAAGCTGTACTAAAAAGATTTTCTTCATGCTTAAGTTCTATACTTGCGTTGCTTGTATCGTATTTCTGTTTATAAATACTTTGGCTTGATGCTCCATCAAAACCAATCTTTCCACATAAAACTCCAAATATTTCATCACTTTGGCCAAAATTAGGCATATCAATCATTTCTGTTATTCTACTCACACTGTGATCTAACATGCTTTGAAGAGTACACTTTGCAGAAATTTCAGAAAAATATATATTCTCAGGATAGCATTTCAATTTTTCCACGAAAATATCGTGCAAGGTAGGATAAATATGTACGTTGTGTACAAGAGCTGAGTTTCTGATATTAAATCAATTATATTTCTGATATTATATTACAATTATATATCTGATATTAAATCAATTATAGTTTCTGATATTAAATCAAAAATATTTGGGATAAGATCTAATCTTTTCATTTTTATAGTTTTTAAGAACCATCAATATAATAAAACTAATATATTAGACACATTTTAAATTACATTACATATTTTTTTTACTTGACACTGTTTCAAATTTTACCTTGTTATGACTTTTAACAATTTTCACATTGTTTCATCCTGTAATAACACATAATATAAAGTTAACTAAGTAATATGTGTTATTACAGGATGTAACAATTCGGTATTTCTTGAAACGGGAAATACCAAAGTTGTTCAATTAAGCTTTTTCAAACATGTTGTACTTATCGAATAATAAATAGTTCTTTAAAATTGTCAATAAATATTTTAACAAACTTTTAAATAGTATATAATGACAAAAGCACGTTTTTTAAAACTATATTTAATATTTATGATTTAAAAACTATATTAGAACAAGTTCTACAAGCAAGAAACTTAACTTTAAGTTTCCCGCTAATTTCATTTGTTTTGATATAATAAAGTTCTTAGCAAAATGGCGGAAAACAAGGTTTTTATAAAATCATCAACATTTGTTTTTCTTTAATAACTTTTAATACCGCAGGAGACCGCAATAATCCTTTTACATTCCTAAAGTAGAAATGTTAATTAATTGGAATATATATATATATATATATATATATATATATATATATATATATATATATATATATATATATATATATATATATATATATATATATATATATATATATATATATATTTGTCGAACTCGGTAAAACATTTTTTTAGCTGATATATAAACAAAAAAAAATACAATTATTTTCTACTTTTTTTTAGAGAAGTCTTTAAATTTAAACGAAAAAATCAGCATTTTTTTTTTCTTTTTAGTATATTTGAAATATATAGAGTCAAAATATTATTTTAAAAATAAATATACACTTTTATTTAAATTTTAAGTTCTCTAATTTAGTTGAATAAAAACTTCACATTTTTCACATTTCTTTAAAAATAATATCAAATTTTTTCACTTCTTTTACCTATTAAATACAAAATAAAAGCTTTATGAAAAAATTATTTTTATTTTTGAAATAAAAAATCATTGTCTTTTAATATTATCTAACAAAGGGCACTTAATTTATTAAAAAAAGTGGTGAGGGGTTTATTGCCATTTTTTTGTTGTTTTGAGTCACTGTGCGTCGTCTGATTGTTCGGTCGAATACAGGCAACTCTAATTGTTTTTGTATCTCGACTGATGATATCCAGGGATCCTTCTTGACGGATCTGACGATCATAGAATCCTCTCTAGAAGTGGTGGAATGCAGTCTTCCACCTTTGTTATCTGCTGCCAACTTCCCCGTAGAACGATATTTGTAACATAGTCTTGATACGGTCCATTTTTTCACGCGATATTTATCATAAATACTTTTTTGTGACATTCCACTTATGTAATCGCCAATAATTTTCTTTCTTAGTTCCAATCCAAGACTGTCGGAAGCCATTTTTGCACTTGAAGTCATAAAAATAAATAATCACTCTTCTCAAGGCTTACCGTGTTCATTTACCTTGTGATGAGAGACTTAAGAAAATAAAACAAACCAAAAAAGTTGCATTTATTTTGTCCACTGCAAAATGGCAATTGTCAACGAAATTCTGCCTGTGTGCTGTCACCTGTCAGCTGATTGCTCATGTCATGGCATGCTATGACTCCAGACTCCTGAACTGTTTGCTGTGGTAGTATAGTTCGTTTCGTTTTTAAGACATGTAAAATTAGGAACACATTTTAGCATTGTTCGATATTGGTTGCAAATATTTTGTCCAATACTGTATAAAGTAAATTAATACTGAATGAATACTGAATGCTGTTTAAAAGGAGGAAATGTGTGGAATGGTTCAAATTAAGGGTTACAAGAATGTACTAGTGACCAAAAAGAAAAAGAAAAACTTATTTTATCTTGAATTTGGCTATGACATCTAGTTTTAATTTGGTTATGACTACCTAACCTACCTTAAAATTAAGTTTAAAAAAAAACCCAACAACAAACATGTTGCTCAGAAACTGTTTAAATAATTGAAAACAGTTATAAGTAATTGAAAACAGTTATAAGTAATTAAAAACAGTTATAAGTAATTGAAAACAGTTAAAAATAATTGAAAAGTTATAAGTAATCGAAAACAGTTGAACCAGTCGAAAGGGACATTTCGAAAAGGACACAAGTCCAAAACTTTTAAAATTAGTTTATAAATTTAAAATAAAAATTTCTATATGATTCATGTTTGTTTTTTTTTAATAATAAATGAAACTTACATAGTTATATACTTTATTTATCTATTCCTAAGTTTTAACATTATTTATTTATCTTTATTATTCCTAACTTCTTTACCAGCGTAGACGTTTTCTTAATTAAAACTATTTTTTTGTTGATTTTGAAAAATTTCAATAAATAGACTTGTGACATTTTCGAAATGACAGGTTCAGTTATAAGTAATCGCAAACAGTTATGAGTAATTTAAAACAGTTATAAGTAATTGAAAACAGTCATAAGTAATTGAAAAAATATATAAGTAATTAAAAACAGTTATAAGTAATTGAAAACAGCTATGAGTAATTTAAAACAGTTATAAGTAATTGAAAACAGTTATATGTAATTGAAAACAGTTAAGAGGTCATCTATAAAGTACGCACGCAGTAAAAACACTGCTTAAGGAACTTCTCCCATTTGTACGAATCTAAATGCTTTCAACAACCCCCTCTGTCAATGCGGACGTATGCATAGTTCATTAATCATTACAAACCCTTTAAATATTAAGTTAATTCTTGACATAATTCTGTTACATAACAAAATATTGATTTTTTTAAATTCATAAACTCAATGCTTTTGTTAAAAAAAAAAGAAACTAAGTTTCAGGAGAGAAAGAGAACAAAAGTTCTCAAACCCCGCACGCACTCGCTTTTTTTACCACCTCTTCCCCCAAAACCTGCGTATGTACTTTATGAAAGACCTTTAGACAGCCTAAGTAAATTAAAAAAAAACATTCTAATTTGCTTTTCTTCTTTTAATTTATGCTAATTAGCCAAAAATTGAACTTAAAATTAATGAAATATAATATAATCTCACAAATTTTATTTAATTTAATTTTTGACTTTGAATTTTTATTTTGATTTCTTATGAAATTTTGACTTTGAAATTTTATTTTGATTTCTTATATTTGCCAGTTTTTATATTAAATAAAATCTTTTAATCTTGTTAATCTGTCCTATGTGTAAAATACACCGCTTTCAAATAGCCTTAATCTCCCCTATATATAAAATACACCACTTTCAAATAGCCTTAATCTTCTCTATATATAAAATACACCGCTTTCAAATAGCCTTAATCTTCTCTATATATAAAATATACCGCTTTCAAATAGCCTTAATCTCCCCTATACAAAATACAACGCCTTTAAATAGCCTTAATCTCCCTTATATAATGTGTATAACTGCAAGCAACACATATTACGCCTTGTACGTTTAGTACTGTATGGTTTTGATTATCCTAATGATTTATCCTATTGTCATAATGTGATTACTTGTAATGTGGTATAGTTGTAGAAAAACCATTTATTTAATATAAAACACCACTTAAATAACATATATTGAAATTTTTATTTCAATATATTGAAACTCATTTACAATATTGCAAAATGATATTTTGCAAATTAAACAAATTTGAAAAAAACAAACAAAAAAAAAAAACTACAAAAACAAAAGACAAAAAATACAGAGAAAATCTAAACAGTATTTAAAAAAATGAAATAAACCGTGGTTTAACATACCTTAGTTTCTTTTTTAATTTTATATTTTATTTTTTCTTTCTCATTTTGATTTTTATCACCAGCTCTGCGTTTTGATCGAGGTTCATAACTGTAGCGATAAAAAACAAAATCATAACTATTGGGAGAAAAGTTTTATGACAAAATTTATGAGAAAATTTCATAACAATTGAGAAAAGTTTCGTAACAATTGAGAAAAGTTTCATAACAATTATTGTTGTATTAAAAAAATTTCATAACAATTGTTGTTGTGATAAAAAAAGTTTCATAACAATTGTTGCTGTGATAAAAAAAATCATTACTGTTGCGCAATCATTTAATAAAAATGTCAACAAAAAATTGTTAAATACAAATTATTATTGGCATTAATTTGTTAAATATTAAAAACGTGCATGACTATATCAACAATTACTATTCACAGGGTATATATATATATATATATATATATATATATATATATATATATATATATATATATATATATATATATATATATATATATATATATATATATATATATATATATATATATATATATATATATATATATATATATATATATATATATATTTATATATATATATATATATATATATATATAAATATTGTATTTTGTCAGGTCATATTTTAGGTATATTAAATAAATATTGCCAAGTACATTATATAAATATTATAGGTATATTATATAAATATGACAGGTATATTATATAAACATGACAGATATATAAATATTATATTTTTTCAGGTGCATGATCATTATGATCACCCTACTACTGGTAACATGTATGTATCTAGTGCAACCTTTTACATGTCCTGCTGCCTCGTAGGATTTGCTTTTTAGGCAATGGATAGAAGAATTTCCTACTTCCTGTAATCAATACTATCTAATATCTGTCATGCCTATAATAGTATCTATATTTGTCTGTTATATAATTGGAGGTGTCTTAGCTATGTTAGTTCACCTGTAATTTACTATATACAAATGTTTGTGTTCCGTCTGAACCTCTAGCATGGTGTTCAACCACCTATATGTTACAATATTTATGTTTGTGTAATGTGCAAACATGTATTTTTGTTTTAACTCATCCCTAAACAACAATATGTTTATGTTCTGTTTCACTAATGAAGTGTATAAGCTCAATTAGTGATTGCAACTATATAATTATATAACGTTTTCCTTGATTTCCAGTCCTATAGATATAAAACAAATTTAGATGATACATAACAACCACCTGGATTTCCAGTATTCCTATAGATATAAAACAAATTTAGATGATACATAACAACCACCTTGATTTCCAGTCCTATAGATATAAAACAAATTTAGATGATACATAATAACCAACTGGATTTCCAGTATTCCTATAGATATAGAACAAATTTAGATGATACATAACAACCACCTGAATTTCCAGTAAACCTTTCACGGCTGTTTCACTCAATATAAAAACGAGCGTGACGTCATGAGTTGATCAAAATAAAAGTATTTCCGCATAAAAAGAATAAAAATTCACAAACTTTAAATTAATAGTAACTTTTTTATAAATATGCTTTCATCTTGCAATTAAAAAATTATAAAAGATCTATCTTTCTTTGTTAAATAAATATTTACATTAATTGGTATAAAAATAAATATTGCCAAAATATTTTTAATAATTTAGAACCACTTTTCTAATTTTTGCATATTTTCCGGAAAACATGAGTTGGGCCAACTAAGATTTCATAACATAGCTCTGTGCTTGATAGTTTAAATTTGAAACACTTAACCCTAAATGTCCATTCTATCAGATTCCTGCGTCATCTTAGAGATTTTTTTACAAAAAGACTGTTTTTAAAGCATTTATATTTTTTAATTGATCATTTTTAAATGCAAAACGTAACTTTATTGACGGATGACGTAAGTTAATGAAATTTCAACCTTTTATGCAAATGAAAATAAAAAAATTATTTTAGGTGCCTTCAGCTATGTTATAAAATATGTTTTCAAAAATGTCATGTTTTACAACTAATCTTGTTAGTTTTAGGCGTACATTTGTGTTGACGTTTTTTTGCGATGACGTAACCTTTATGCGTTACGTCCCAAACTATTTATTAACGAATATTCTCCAAACAACTGTTTCGGCAAGTCAATTTTTGAAGTATAAAGTAAACAAAGTTAGGCTCTTTGGATTATCAAACTAATACCAGATAAGTTGTTAAATCCACTTTTTTCTAGTGCATATATTTGTTAATTAATATCATTTTATTTGTTTTTATTATATTGATTAATAAGTCAATATTATTTTGATAACTATGTATTCAACTGAAAGGGAAATTCTAAAACAACATATTGGATGGAAAAATGGTTGGGAAGATAGGTGTAACTTTCCTTTTGTTAAGCGATTAATTAGGACAGATAAGATCAGTAACAATGTCATTTCCATTTTAATGTCAGTCTTTAAAATAAGAAGTGATTTATTTAGTTTTATGAGTTTTCTTTTGCCAATTGATTTTGATATGCCTAGTAATGACGAGTTTGATAAAATGTGCCTAAAGTTAACACGCCAAAAAAAGAAATATAAAAAATTTTAAAGCTATAAAAAACGAAGAATTTTTTAAAATGCAACTGTCGCAGGCTCCACCCAAAAAAAAAAAAAAATCAGCAGATGCAGATGACTTTTTCACTTTAAATAACAGTCAGGAGCTACTGAATCAAATTGATCAATTAACTTCTGAAAATAAAACAAATATGGAGCAAATAGAAAAATTGTAATGCAAGTATTAAATTAGGAAATGGTAAACCTTATTCTAAGTTAGGTAGGCATGCTGAAGCTAGACAATCTAAACCTGCTTTTATATTCCTTCGATTATTAGCTTGTTCAGATTTAAAAAGTGATTGTCAATGTTGTTTTGTGATTCTATGTCTTGTGAAAAGTCAATATTTTGTTTTGTTGCAAATAAGTTGGGTTTAGTTAAGTAGTTAAGTGTTTCTGATGCTGTAGAGCTACAGAGCCAATTAAGGATGCCCACGGCTATGCGGTAGTGGTAGAGCGCTCGCTTCATAAACGAGTGGTTCCGAGTTCGATCCCAACCACGTCCCTGGTAGTACCGCACTCAACTTGTTTCTCTGCGCAGCGGCCTTGTTCGTCAAGGTTTGTGTTTCGGAGTTATAGAGTTGAGAGAGGGTTATAGCCACAAAATAAGTAGCCTCCTCGTCTGTAGTGGCCTTCTCGGCCTTGAGGAAGTGAAGTATAATAAAACAAAAAACGGCTAAATTCCGTAGACTAAGATGTATTCTGTGTAATCTTGGTGCATGGATTCTCCCATCTGAGCCCAAGATAAGACAAGAACAAGAAATGCGGACAATGCATGTCAATAAAGAACATGTCACTGTGAAGTCCATGTTACTTTATCCATCTGCGAATGAAGCACCTTGTTTAGTATCTGTACTGATGGTCAAGAATTTGACAACTTATATTGAAGAGGTTTTTAATAATCTTTATGTACGCGACCACCTTAATTCGGATGTCGGTTTTGGCGAAAAAGTATGGCTCCTTTTTGCTGGTGATAAGGGTGGGAAGTATATGAAATTCCATTTTGAAGTTGTCAATTCTAAATCGTCAGTGTCTGTATACAATGTTCACTTGTTTTGTATGTATCAGGGTTCAGACTGTCGTGAGAATATAGCCTTAGTTCTCGGGCATTTTGCCAACAACATTAAAAGAATTCAGTCATCAGATTTTAAGCTAAAAGGTAAAATAGTCAGGTTGTTAAGCTAAAAGGTAAAATAGTCCCTGGTGTCCCAGAACATCATCGATAAAATGAAAATCTCCACCTAAGGGTGGAGATTTTCATTTTATCGATGATGTTCTGGGACACCAGGGTTCAGCTGCTAGCTTTCCTAGTTCTACAGACCTAGTTAAGTTGAATTCTCTAAGAAACCATGCAGTGCCACCTGTTTTGCATATTATGTTGTGTTAAAACTGTATAAGTTATTGTTGAAGGAGTGTAAGACTTTAGATTGTCAAGCTGTTTCGTCTTTGTCGCATAATGAGAATGTGAGAACGAATGAATTGTGGGCTGCTAAAAGCGTTGAATGTTCTAAAACAGCAGGAGCTTTACGTTTATTAGGAAATCAATTTGTAGACATTGCAACTCTACAGGCGCGTTGGTTAGCTTTTAATAAAAATATTTCTGAATTATCTCTAAACTCCTCCAATAAAAAAATAACCTGTAAACAGCAAGAAATGTGTGATAGTATTAGGTGTTTAATTACAAAATACAATTGTAACATTGATTGGGTGCAGTGTGGTACGTGCCAAAAATTGTTTCATCAATTTTGTGAAATTATTGGTGATTCGGAAAAGAGTGTATTGTGTGACATTGAGAAGTATGAGTGTTTAGCATGTCAGGGTGAAGATATAGAATGTCTTGACCTTTATATTTCTGAAAAATTTCTTTTATACGCGCACAACGGGAACTTTTAGACGTTGAGTATATTTGATTGCAGATGGAGTGTGAAGACCTAGAAAAAGAATATAAAAATAGCATAAGGCCTCATGAGAGGTCTCTTTATAAGGCCCTTGAAGATATGAAGGTTGAGCGACAAGCTTACCATGGTAATGTATTTGTAGGTAATCATTGCAAAATAGTATTAAGAAACCACTATAAACTTTGTAGTGTTATTGATGATGAAGCAATTGATGATGAAATAATAAGTTGCAACCTATTCTTTTTTGGCGAAAATTTCTTTCCGATGCCGAAATTACTGAGCTTTACCAATATATAAATTTATTTACTATTGAGTTTCATGCTTGCTTTCCAAATGAAAGTATCACACGAAAAATGCATGAACTTATTTTTGATGTTCCACTATTTGTAAAAATCCATAAAACTATTGGGTTGCTAAGTGAAGAGGAGGGAGAGTGTTTGCATAATAGCGTAAATAAGGAAATAAGACAGTTGCATTCAGTAAGAAATCAGGAGCAGAAGCTGCATCTTGTTTTAAAACGCTTTGAATTGCACAGCAAAGCTGATAGGAAGCTTCAAGCCTCTAAGGTGAGAAAGTGTGTTGTGTGTTCTGAGCGTGGTGAAAATTCATTTTAGAGACAA